TTTATTTATCTATTTATTTATATATAGAGATATAATAATCGGTATATGAAAAAAAAGTATTAATCTTAATTGAATATTCGTGAAATATTTAAAATAATTTATATTATATTTTTTGATTTCTTATAGAATTAATTCATTTCATATATTTAAAATTTAGGGAAATATTTATTATTCTTATTAAATTATGATTTAATATTGAATATAGATTTAAGAATAATTCATATGCAAAAAATAGAAAAAATCAAAGATTTCCATAATATTAAAATAGTTGCCATATATTTGTCCAAGTTCGAATTAAATCCTATGAAATAACAAATATTTCTTTTCGATATGAATTTCAATAGCAATCGCTCCTGTATCTATACTATCAAATAGTCGTCTATATATCTATAAATAATCGTGGCCTTGAAAATTCAGTGCCGCCCGCTTATTACCCTGTTGTTGGAAGCAGCAAGCCCGCTCTTTCCTAAGAATCAGATCATAATCATAGTCTAGAAATCCATATTTTGCCAAAGTAATAATTGTGATTGCGTTGGTGACGAATCGTATGTATATATATATATGTATGTATCTGTCTATATGTACAACTCATATTGATTTAAGTGGTGTGGCGCAACTGGACTGACGTCGCAGTCATGAATATCCTCTGGATCTTTTCCCCGTTGCCGGTGACCCTAAATGAATTCGCACACATCGTGCAAGGAAATCACCAGCCTCAGTCCCGATTTTCTGAAACCTATTCAGACTCTGTATTGTCATTAAGATGCTGACTCCTGCTGCGCTTGACCACGGCCCAGACGGATGGTGGCCAGTTTTTGACCTCAGCTGCTATGGCGCAGCTTAAGTGGGCGAGACGAGGGGCTGCCATGCTCCTGGCTGGCATCTTGCGAGACTAGCTCAGCAATGACACCTGTGGAAAGTCTGTGGGGGAGAGGTTCAGGGGTGGGGTTTACACTCTAAGTCACAACTCGGGCAAGCCAGGCGAGGATTCATAGGGTGGGGTTGAGGGTTTACACTCTCACAACTCGGACAATCAAGGAGAGGTCTCAGGCGCAGTCAAAGTGGGTGTAGGGTTTCAGCACTCACAACTGGGACAAGCCTGGCGAGGTGTAGGGTTTAGGGTAGCGGGTTCGGGGGTGGGGTTTGGACCCCATCTAGCACCAGCCACGCCAGCATACTTTCATTCAACAAGGTGCAACGAACGAAAGGAACTTCTCAATTGCTCGATGGCACTGACACGAAACTTCAAATGTCGCTGGAACTATTAAAGACATAGCACTAGTACTGTCAATGATACATGCCGTACGACACTAGTTTGAAGACTGAAAGTGATGACCGAGCGGTCTCTTTGCCTCGGTGCCCGCCGCGCACCACCTCGATGCGGTTGCATGTCTTGGACCTTCGCAGTGTTGAGGGCGGCAGTAGATTGGATTTTGCTTCGGCGACTTGCTTCAGCACGAGAGAAAGATAAGTAGATCCGAACAGTACCAACAACATGGATAGACTTCAGTACCTCATGGAGTCAAGCAAAGGAGCCTAAACCTGGACCATGAAGCCACTTTCATGAAGAGACGTTAGATGAATTTGATGTAGCATGCAGTGCATGAAATATCATCCATGATCATCTTCTGGCTACCTTAGCCCAAGGCTTCAGTCTACCCAGGCGCAGAGAGACCATGGTGGTTGAAAAGCTTAGGAACGGTAGGCTTCGAAATGCAACCGTCAGGGCATGGAGGAGGGTTCTGATCCTGCTGTGCGTGTGTGGAGGCATTGAGGGGAGCTCATAAGCCCTAAACCCGAAAATGCCTTGTTCAGGCGAGCTGCACAAACGTCTGCAGCTTGGTCTGGGGCACCATCTTCAGCATCCTTCGCGGCACTTTGACGGCGGGGAAGCTTGCGCCGCCACAAGCTGCAACTGTAACTCTTCGCAGCTTCTGGCCTGTCGGAGTCATCTAGTGCCTGAAGAAGCAGCCATAATCTCAGTACTTCCTGGGCTCTGAGATCTTCGAGGTCGGGGCAACATCCACAGCGCCTCTTGCAGCATGACGGCCTGGAGCACTCATCATTCTGCAATGGTGCACGAAATACCCTCAAAGTACTGGCGCCTACGAAGGCTGAGTGTCACACAGCACTGAAAGGCCGTATTGTGAAGTATGCTAACTTACAGTCTTTCACATATAGCCTTATGGAGGGCTACTTGCTTTGTGGCCTGGTGGACCATCTCATTCTGCCGTGCCTTCAGTGCCTCGTATTCATGGATATGCTACCATCTGCTGTAGCTACAACTGCTCCTGAAACTGCTCCACGATAGATCCCTGTCGTGTGGCTATGGTCCTTGATGGTTTGTCATCGTGCGCTCTGCCTAGCGACTGCCCAATGTACAATCTTCATTCTCCAATTTAGCGGCAGGTCGGGTCGGGTCGTGTCGCAAGTTTCGCTATGTTCAAGGGTCGGGACAAGTCGTTAAACAGGAAGAAGTCTAGACACCTGGAGAAGCTAAAACTGGCCAGATGATGGAGAGGGCGGCCGAGGGTTTTACAAGTGCATTGTTTTTTTCGCTACACGAACTCAGAACGAGCCTATTTCAACACTGCAGCGAGCTTTTTGGAATAGCACGGGTTCTCTCAAGGATGCCAGGAAGATCAAACCGAGCCTGAATGCAACAAGTCTCGTTTTTCGTGTGCCTTGTGACCGTTCGACATGTCGGGAAGTGAGGACTACGAACATCAAGTGTCAGGTCGGCAACATAATTTCAGATGAGATACCACTATTTTCGGGTGACCTCACATGACCTCGCAAAAAGCTGACCAGCTATTGATCATGTTCAAGACAAGGGGTTCTCGGAACGAAATCTAGCGCTAGGCTGTGCAGCTCCTTGCCATCCAAAAGGCGTCGGACAACCCCAGTCTGCAAATGGTACGTCTTTAACCTTCAGCTGCAACAACTGATGCGTTTCAGTTGTGAAGGCTAAAGGTCAGCGAGCACTGGATTGACAGCTCAGGCAAGCAAAACGAATAGGTGGCCCACTCGCCCGTCTCGCTCAGGACTCGAACTCGCATGCCCTTGCCTGCCATTTCTTCACCCACATCAAGTTGCAACCCCTGCGTGATTTGAGAGCCGTGCTTGGCCAAAGACTCTGCTCTTGTTCTTCCAAAGATGCGCGTTTAGGCACCAGACCTGCGCCATAATACTGGGTGCAACTGTGCTTTAGGAAGCTCTGCCTCACAAAGGGTGCAAAGGGAGAGCACCTCTGGTGTCTTCATCAGCTGCTTTGGGGGCCTGTCAGGAGTCCACCAGCTATGATCAAGTACTCATAGATTACTCGAGCGCAGCAGAAGACGATTTCTGCGAGCACCTTACGCTTCACGAGCTTCGGAGGCGGCCGCAGAAGTGGATTGGCAGACTCCTCAGTCTGTCTAGTTAAAGGATCATGGGACTTAGT